TTTCAGATGATGTATAAATCTCAATTTCGAAAAATTGACACTTAAGACTGGTTTTGTGGTCCAGGGTCAAATATAAATCCCACATTCAGTCGATTTTGAGAAAATATTTAGCATATTTATTTAGCATATTTACATAATTATTATTTTGAATATTTGGTATGCAATTCATTATTCTGAATAGATACTGACCCATTATCAACATTTGGAGGGTATGAGGCCTAACTAAAGTACCTCAAATTTACTGGGAATATTGTGGTCTTTGTTTTTTGTATTCTCAGCCCCGTTTCGAAGGAGGAACTCATTTCCATCCCAGAATTCTCGCCAGTGAACTCTCCCCAGCAGATTGGAATGAATAACATGCGTGCTTTAGAGGACCTGTTGGATCTGACCGGACAAGTAGCTTATCCCAGACTCTCCCCTGCTGCCAGCCTGGGCGACTGCAACAAGAATCTAATAGAAGGGGTCTGTAGCCCTGGATCCGACTCGAAACTCGTTCCCAGCAACCCTCCAGCCTCTGACAAACACCACGTACAATAATGGTACAAGTTCGGTTGAATGCAATTTGTATACTTTTGCATGAGAGTAGATTGTAATCAACAACAGATCTACAGTACAGTTGAAAAGTTTGCGTCAGTACGTTTTTTTTTTTTTTAACAACTTGCTAATTGAGATGTAACAAAATAGTATAGTATTATATTTTTTTATGTTTTTGAAATGTCTCTTATACTCTCTAATACAGTAAAAATAATATTGTGAAACATTATTACAATTAAAAATAACTGTTTTCTATTTGAATATATTTAAAAATGTAATTTATTCCTCCATTACTCCTTTATTACTCCAGTCAGAAATCAGTCTAATATGCTGATTTGCCGCTCAAGAAACATTTCTTATTATTATCAATGTTGAAAACAGTTGTGCTTCTCAGTATATTTGTTGAAACCATGAGAAACTTTTTTTAGGATTCTTTTATGAATGCAATCTTTAATGTCAATTGTGATCAATTTAATCATCTTTTATAAATAATGAATTTCTTTGATCAAAAATGTTACTGACCCCGAAGTTTTGAACTATAAAATTCTAGTAAGTCTAGTAAGTTTCAAATAGATTTATATCCAAATAAATTTTTGTTCATATTTTCATACGAACAAGATTTGTCATCATAAACATATTTTCCTCTATTTACCAGGTAATGTGACAGACCACATTGGTGCAGCTGACTGCAATGGGATAACTGCTCATCTCTTTCAACAGAAAAGGAAAGAAAGTGGAAATGAAGGAAGAAAATACTTTGTCTGTCTAGTTTCAATGTTGCCCTCATGAAAAATGATGTCCTTCTGCCTTTAATCTTTACAGCACAAAAACCAAGTGTATTGAAGCTGTGGTTCAGTATTATGGACTGAATTTAATTCAAGTGTGTAGTGTTCACCAAACGTGTGTTGTGTGTATGTTTATATACGTACAGATGTGGATGGCCAAAATTGCTGGTAAGAGGGTTTGGACATAATACTTTGAAGGTATCTTATGCTAGAGTTCAACATTTTCCAATGACAGTCATCACTGGATAGAGACAGAACACTGATTGGTTACTCTATATTTTAGGAAGCATAACTGTATGAAGTAATAAATAGTGTGAAATATTAATGGTTTCTTTGCCAGTCGACTCTCTCTCTCTCATTGGTAACAGTATTATGAACTGTTTTGTTGAGAAATTGCTGTGTATTTTAAGCTCAACTAACATCTCCTGCATTGCATCACACTGTATTAAACCCCCAGTTTGCTATGAAATGCTTGTACCGCAGGACATTAGCACATTAGAGAAATATGACCATCAGTGAATACAGCATGTATAATATTTAAGAAATGGCAGTAAGCCCATTTTAAAGCCCTAGTTTACCAGTAATTAGTGTCATATTCCTCCGGTGTCATCACTGTGCTTAACAATGTAGTTTCAGTCTCAGAAGTTCTTTTGACAAATGTAAACCAGTTATATTGGAGTCCTGACTTTATTCCTTAACATTGAAGAAGGAAAGTGTTGTGGTCCAAACCAAAAACCCATTGATGTGCTTTTACTTCCCTGAACACTTCATTAGTCTTTGGGTGTTGCAGGTATACATGTTTGGAGTGGGTGGGTATGAGAGTTGACAGCTTTGTTGTTTAATTGTTCTATATAATGTGGATTCACAAAGAAAAGCTTACTTGAAAAACTGTTTAATTAGCCTGCAGGGAACTTCTAAACTTCTCCAAGTGTCTCAGCTTCAATCTCTAAATACAGTACAGCAGTGACTTCAAGTTGTGATTACTGTAGATGATGTGCATGGTGGCATGAGCATCAAGCCATAATTATATGCCTAGAAATAAACCAATAAACTGTCTTTACCAGCTCATGTGCCTCCTGTACTTGATGGAATGGTCTTGATGTACTTGATGGCATTTTTTTCTAGTCTTTTAATCCAGGTCTTAAGACGTAAGACCTGGTTTATAGGCACATTTTGAAAAAGACAATATATTATCAGAATATAAATTACCACTCCGGCTAGAACACTGCATAATATTTTGTGTATGTAGGGTTTTTTATCAATCCTAATGGCCACTGAAATGCATCAGCACACTATTGGTCTTTGTTTTATCAAAACCAATACTGATCTACTGTTAGATAACAAATGCAATGATAAGATTATTTTCTTTCACAGGGTAAAACCTTTCTAGTAATACATATTACTGTATATTGATTTTAATGTACTTAAACTACTTTGGTAGAAAAGCATATGGGCAGAAAATGTAAAGTATTTATAAACTGTATATGCTAGATCTGTTACACAGGACCAATTACCACAGAAAATAAAGTTCATGCAAAAAAGAACTTAAACAGATAAGGTTTGATATTCAGAAAATACTATTCTAAAGTGCAGATTCACATCTGGAATGCAGAAAAATCATACAGGCAACGAAACAAGCTACGAAACCTCAGAGAATTTATTTTTTTTCTCCACAATTGTACATATCAGGATATGATCAATTGAACAGTTTGAAACCAATGAAACATGGAAATTTAAGTAAACAAATAAACATGAAGAGGAATTACTGGGAAAATCCACAAACAGTATTAAGATACACAACATATTTTTCTTAAGTATTTCCTCTGATCAGTTCAGCATATTTAATTCACATGCAGTCTGCAACTTTTTACCAACAGACAGAAAAAAAAAGAAGTTATGTCAAATATGGTACATATATGATAGCGCACATTTTAATTTTGCTATTGGCTAAGTTGTCTGTACAGCTGAATGATCAAGAGCTGGATCTCAGCATCACCAGTATTAATGTCTATGGCTTTTAGAAAGAAATCCAGAGCTGCCTGCTTCCTCCCTTCTGCCAAACACTGTTTCCCAGACAGGACCAGCATCTCATACGTGTTCTCGGAGGGTTTAGCAGCAGTCACATCACTGCCTGAGGAGCTAGCAGGAAGAATGTGTGTTTCCGGAGGGAATGTTTTAGGGGCACACTGGTCCATCATTTCATTAGAGTCTAGTTCAACATCAGCAGTGGATTCAAGCAGGGCGCTGTGCCATTCTTCATGCTCCCAGTCTCCTCTTGAATCTACGCTTTCTTCCACCTCTTCAAGCTCCTTGTGACTTTCTGACTCTTCCGAGTTCAAAGTCTCTCCACTGGGCTCCTCTTCTTCCACCACTGATTCATCTGCATAACTTTCACTAGCTTCCGAAATCTCATAGGATTTGGTTTTATCTTCACAGGGCTCTGCTGACTCCTCATCTGACTCATTCTCCAGCATGGACATAACGAAGGTCCTTCTTGATGCCACCGAAGCGTTCAAGCTGTGCTGGAGTTGGCTGCCGTCAATCAAAGTGGATTTTGGTGTTGAAGAGCCCAGCCTGCTGAGGCCACTGGTCAATGGACTGCTTGTTAAACATGGCTTCTCTGACTCCTCCTCTTCTTCGTCTTCATCAGTGTCAGAGATGACCTGCCTTTTTTTTCTCTGAACTGAATGCACAAAGGAGTCGTCTGCAGGTGTGTCCGGAGCAGAACGGATCCTCAGAGGAGATTCATGCTTGCTGACTTCACCAGTGTTACAGTTGCTGATTTCAACATTGTTTTGGTTACCATCTTGTCTGCTTTCATGGATACTCGCTTCTTCTAGCCTTTCTCCACTGATGTCCATCTGAAGCTGAAATCCATGACTTTCCTCGGCTAGCGACTCCTCAACATCACGAACTTCCTCTTCTTCGACAGAGAACATATCCGCACTGTCCTCCAGCTGCAAGTTGAAGTTTCCCTGAAGCGCTTCCACCTCTGCTTTGAAAGACTCTCCTGCTGTGGCCTCATTTGGAGATTGGGGTGATGAAAACATCTTTAAATTAAGCTTGTCCACCTGAACCTCTTCGTTACCAAGAGCATCCGATGCTATAGAAAGTTCTTCCAGCTTTGGAAACTGGCGAGAAGGACTTGGCAAGTTTTGATTGCCTGATGCTGCATTAGTGTAAAACTGGTCCTCCTCATCTAAACTGTCATCCAGCGTGATCACAGTGTGAGCTTGCTTGTCAGCAGCGGGGCTAACATGCACGTTTCTTTCTCCAGCAGACCAAGGAGACTCATTTTCCACTTGGTCATCTTCATCTACAATTTGCACTTCTTCACTTACAACTTCCACCTCCGCATTCTCAGCTGGTGGAAAGTTCTGCTCATCTTCCTCTAGTTCTGACTCATCGTAACTGTTATGTGTCAGATCCACTGTCACAGGCTCTTTTTTGACACGTGGGGGGGCCGGGCGGTCTCTACCAGCAGATTTCGGCTGGTTCATTTGCCTGAGCCAAGCGGGTTCGGTGTTCTGGGCCATGCTGTCCAAGAGCTGGCCTTGCAGTTCTGATTCTGCCTGCATGAGCTCTTGTGCTTTCTGGACACGTGTTTGTATGTAGTGATGTGACTCTGCATCCTCAGGGTCGTCTTCATTGGCTGCCACCTCTTTAGTGAACATGAGGTCATGATCGGAGATGCCGAACATCTCCATGCTGTGAAGGCGAGCGATGTGCTGGTCCAGGCTGGTGTCAGAGCGGCGGTTTTGTGCATGCATTGCCTGAAGCTGCTGCTGAGTGCTGGATGAGCGTGTGTCTTCGAGTTTAAACAGTTCACGCAGCTCCTGCTTACTGAAGTAACGGAACGGGTTCTTCTTATCGCCGGTTGTCTGCCGGATGAGAGAGTCTTTAAACACCTGCAGATATTGGAAAGACACAACAAAAACAACATCAACTTAATAATATTGTTTTTATTTAAAGTTCGACAGTAATATTACAATAACTATGTGTTTGTCTTCCTTTTTTATAATTTAAACAGAAATAATGCTTAAAGGAATAGTTAACCCAAAAATTAAAACTCTGTCATTAATTACTCACCCTCATGTCGTTCCAAACCTGCAAGACCTTTGTTCATCTTCGGAACACAAATTAAGATATTTTTGTTGAAATCTGAGAGCTCTCTGACCCTCCACAGACAGCAAGGGGTTAAAATGGTCCATGTGACATCAGTGGTTCAAACGTAATTTCACAAAGCTACGAGAATACATTATGTTTACGTTCAAATCAAAGCACGCGCATGCATCTTAATACTCTCCAAAATGGTGCCAGGATGACACGAAGGAGACGAATTGTTGAATAAAGTCGTTATTTTTGTTTTCTTTGCACACAAAAAGTATTCTCTAGCTTCGTAAAATTACGGTTGAACCACTGATGTCACATGGACCATTTTAACCCCTTGCTGTCTGTGGAGGGTCAGAGAGCTCTCAGATTCCATCAAACATATCTTAATTTGTGTTCCGAAGATGAACGAATTTCTGCCTTTCTCCACTGATGTCCATCTGAAGCTGAAATCCATGACTTTCCTCGGCTAGCGACTCCTCAACATCACGAACTTCCTCTTCTTCGACAGAGAACATATCCGCACTGTCCTCCAGCTGCAAGTTGAAGTTTCCCTGAAGCGCTTCCACCTCTGCTTTGAAAGACTCTCCTGCTGTGGCCTCATTTGGAGATTGGGGTGATGAAAACATCTTTAAATTAAGCTTGTCCACCTGAACCTCTTCGTTACCAAGAGCATCCGATGCTATAGAAAGTTCTTCCAGCTTTGGAAACTGGCGAGAAGGACTTGGCAAGTTTTGATTGCCTGATGCTGCATTAGTGTAAAACTGGTCCTCCTCATCTAAACTGTCATCCAGCGTGATCACAGTGTGAGCTTGCTTGTCAGCAGCGGGGCTAACATGCACGTTTCTTTCTCCAGCAGACCAAGGAGACTCATTTTCCACTTGGTCATCTTCATCTACAATTTGCACTTCTTCACTTACAACTTCCACCTCCGCATTCTCAGCTGGTGGAAAGTTCTGCTCATCTTCCTCTAGTTCTGACTCATCGTAACTGTTATGTGTCAGATCCACTGTCACAGGCTCTTTTTTGACACGTGGGGGGGCCGGGCGGTCTCTACCAGCAGATTTCGGCTGGTTCATTTGCCTGAGCCAAGCGGGTTCGGTGTTCTGGGCCATGCTGTCCAAGAGCTGGCCTTGCAGTTCTGATTCTGCCTGCATGAGCTCTTGTGCTTTCTGGACACGTGTTTGTATGTAGTGATGTGACTCTGCATCCTCAGGGTCGTCTTCATTGGCTGCCACCTCTTTAGTGAACATGAGGTCATGATCGGAGATGCCGAACATCTCCATGCTGTGAAGGCGAGCGATGTGCTGGTCCAGGCTGGTGTCAGAGCGGCGGTTTTGTGCATGCACTGCCTGAAGCTGCTGCTGAGTGCTGGATGAGCGTGTGTCTTCGAGTTTAAACAGTTCACGCAGCTCCTGCTTACTGAAGTAACGGAACGGGTTCTTCTTATCGCCGGTTGTCTGCCGGATGAGAGAGTCTTTAAACACCTGCAGATATTGGAAAGACACAACAAAAACAACATCAACTTAATAATATTGTTTTTATTTAAAGTTCGACAGTAATATTACAATAACTATGTGTTTGTCTTCCTTTTTTATAATTTAAACAGAAATAATGCTTAAAGGAATAGTTAACCCAAAAATTAAAACTCTGTCATTAATTACTCACCCTCATGTCGTTCCAAACCTGCAAGACCTTTGTTCATCTTCGGAACACAAATTAAGATATTTTTGTTGAAATCTGAGAGCTCTCTGACCCTCCACAGACAGCAAGGGGTTAAAATGGTCCATGTGACATCAGTGGTTCAAACGTAATTTCACAAAGCTACGAGAATACATTATGTTTACGTTCAAATCAAAGCACGCGCATGCATCTTAATACTCTCCAAAATGGTGCCAGGATGACACGAAGGAGACGAATTGTTGAATAAAGTCGTTATTTTTGTTTTCTTTGCACACAAAAAGTATTCTCTAGCTTCGTAAAATTACGGTTGAACCACTGATGTCACATGGACCATTTTAACCCCTTGCTGTCTCAGAGAGCTCAGAGAGCTCTCGGATTTCAACAAAAATAATCTTAATTTGTGTTCTGAAAATTAACTAAGGTTTGGAACGTTAAAATTACGGTTGAACCACTGATGTCACATGGACCATTTTAACCCCTTGCTGTCTGTGGAGGGTCAGAGAGCTCTCGGATTTCAACAAAAATAATCTTAATTTGTGTTCTGAAAATTAACTAAGGTCTTACGGGTTTGGAACGACATGAGGGTGAGTAAATAATGACAGAATTTTCATTTTTGTGTGAACTACCCCTTTAATATAATTAAGAAATTATATAAATTATTATTATTATATTACAAAAACATGTTACAAAAACATCATAACTGAAGTGCACTAACAAGAAACAATATGAATGTAAAGAGTACAGTTTTTAATTCACATTTTCTTAATTTTTTTGTATAGAATATACCCCAAAAACAACTTCAAAAATAAAAACATTAATTTGGAAACATAAGCATTGCTTGTTATTAGTTTGTAGTTTTTGTACATCCTTTTCAATGGGATTCAAAATGCTTTACTTCTTTTTGCCTGCAAATCTAAGCAGTAGCAATATGAGACATTTCAAAATAACTGCAATATAATTTTTTTTTGGCCAAATCAAACAGCCCCTACTCGTATTTTTATTTTTTTTTTAAGATTAAAACTACATGGTGAAGCAAATGTAAAGTTAAGATTTTTATTTACCTGTCTGCGGTAGATCCTCTCCTCCACAGTGCCACAGGTGATGAGTCGATAGATGATGACATTTTCAGTTTGGCCAATTCGGTAGGCGCGGTCCACAGCCTGAGCATCTGTCGCGGGGTTCCAGCTGGGGTCAAAGATCACGACACGGTTTGCTGCAGTCAGTGTGATGCCGACTCCACCCACCTGAGTGGTGAGGAGGAATATTGTGTAACGTTTGTCTGTCTGGAACAACATGATACGCTTCTCCCTTTCTGCCAGATGCGTCACTGTGCCATCCAAACGCAGCAGGCGAAAGTTTCTGTTACGCAGGACGCGCTCCATGATGTCTAGCATCTTCCTCGACTGAGAGAAGATCAGGGTCCGATGGCCCTCTTCACGGAGGCATTCCAATAGAGACACGAGAAACTGCAGCTTCCCCGACTCCGCAACCAAGGTGTCATCTGAAATTTTATCGATCTGACTCACAGCTGACTCAGTCTCATCGTCTGGATGGATGGCGTCAGAGACGGAACCTTGCTCCAGGCCTAGCTGAGTCACAGCTCGATTAGACAGGAGTCTGGGATGGTCACAGAGCTTCTTCAACACCGTAAGCTCTGCCAGCGGCGACCTGGTAGTTGTCAGCAACTGCTTAATATGGTCCAACGAGATGAACTGGTTATAAATGTCCTCCTGCACCGAGCTGAGGTACGTCCACACGATGAGATCGTTCTTTCGCGTCAGCGACGGCATCTCTACGCCTTTGCCAGCATTTGGACATTTGTTCTCTTGATCTTCCTCATCTTCAAAGCCTTCTTCACGTTTTTGCTTTTTGTGCTGAACATCTGCTTTGGTCCGCCTGAGAAAATAAGGCTTGATGATGTCCATCAAGTTCTGAGAAATCCTCAATCCAAGTGCTTTCTCTCCAGGGGTGGAGTCTTTCTCCCTTGCACGAGTGATTGGATTCTCATACTCAGTTTTGAATGTTTTGGAGGTTCCCAGAAGCGACCCGTGGCAAGCGAAGTCAAACAGCGCCCACATCTCTCGTAGGTTATTCTGAACTGGAGTGCCGGTCAGTAGCACACGGTGTTTAGCGGGGATGGCGTGAGCGCTTTTAGCGGTTTTAGTGGACGAGGTTTTAATTTTGTGGGCCTCGTCCAGGATTACGTAGTCCCACTTGAACTCACGTTGGTCATATGATCCAAGTTGCTCGTAGTTGTTGATGAGCATCTGGTAGGTGGTAATGATGACTCCTCCCCTGCGCTGGATTCGCTCGAGGTTCCTGTTTCGCTCAGTTTTGCTGGCGCCGTGAAATTCTTTCACCCTCATGCCAGGGGTCCACTTGGCGAACTCACGTACCCAGTTCTTAATGAGCGAGGTAGGCATGACTAACAGGGTATAATTGGCCAGCTCTGCATCATACATCCCTGACAAAAACGAAATGACTTGAATGGTCTTGCCGAGGCCCATGTCGTCAGCCAGGATTCCTCCTTTCCTTCCGTCACGGTAGAGACTGTACAGAAATGCCACACCATCTTTCTGATGGTCGTACAGTTTGTTGTAGAGTCCTTTATAAAGCATCAATCCACTATTATTCACATCCACAAACTCCTCTTCCTCCTCATCTTCCTCCTTATCTCTCTGAATGAGATCCTGTATGGCCTGGATCCGTTTCTTCAGCTTGTTACTTGGCTGCAGCTGGTAAGCCAACTCAAACAGCTCAAGGGCACCAGGCAAATCACCACGCATGGCAGCCTCCTTCCCCTCCTGCCGGTACCTGCAAAAATAATAAAAAGTGTTAAAAATACACCCACATACTAATATCAAACACATTAAAACACTGTCTTTCTTTTTTTTAAATTAAACTCAAAGTAGATAAACATAATTTCAATAGTTTTTATTCTGTCTGTGGATAAAGTGAGACAGAGATAGACATTTCTGTCAATTAGTTTTTTGAATTAATTAACATTAGACAGAAACAGAGATGACTGTACATGTGTAGTTGACAAATTAAACGGACATTTATGGACAAAATGAACTTTTTCCCAACATCAAGATGTTAAGTTGTAGTAAAAATGTGTGTGTGTGTTTTACAGCACAAAGTCAGGGCAAGAAGTCAGATCACATTTCAATATATACAATATTTTTGTGTTACCATAAACATTTTAGCTGTTTCATAATCGCTTCGCTGAAAAGTTTATAATAAAATCCGTTGTGATAACCTACCCCAAATAATGTAACATGTCCTGCTATTGTCTATGAACTGTATCTTATTATGACTAATTAAGGATGAAATGTATAATTAATTTTCTGTAACCACAACTTCAGGCTGAGGTATTTTCACTGAACTAAAAAAAGTGAAAAATAAAAATCTATCTACCTATCTATAAATAAAAACGCCAAAACACACAAGAATGATACAAGAATTAGAAACATGTTGTTTTAGACAAAGCACAACTGCTTGTCATGACATGCCAACTACTGACATAATACCTTTCCAGCGAAAAGATGTAAAAGTACAGAAGCATTCTGATTCGACATACTGTATAACAATACATAACAACAGATATCAAACATTAACAGCTACACTGAAACAAATTATGTTATTGTGAGCAAGTATTTAAAAGTACCGTTTTACGTCAATGTGGACAGTAAAATACATATTCTGGCTGGTGACACAGTCACCCGAGATTAGATCTGCATATTGTATTCACCTGTCGTATTTGTCCATCTTCTCTGTGTCTATAGACAGATAGCTGCAAGAGAAAAACACTGTTAAAGCACGCAATAACAGTTTTAGGTCGGAATAAAAGGTTTATTAATGAAAAACCGTGAACGGTACAGATGCGATTATTTGATTACTTACCCCTCTAACTTGTCCGTGATTTCTTCAACTTTATTGCTCTGCATATTTCACTTTATTTTTAGGTATTTTCCTTAAACAACGGCAATGTGTCTCATCACCTCGATAGCGGAAGCGGCTTTGAACAAACGTTTTGTTGGCGCGCAGCTCTCACCCAATCGCTTGCTGTGCTACCGCGCAGGCGCGTAGTGTTGCCGCGTTTGAAACACAACACTTGACTTTCGCACAAGAATATCATACATTGATGCCTCCTCTGACCTAGTGGTGGCGAGATTAAGCTTCATTAAGCTTTAAAGCTTTCCAGCCAGATGTGTTGAAAACTGGTTCCTTTCTCGAGGCTTTGAATTCACGCTAGTGACACCTGCTGATCGATCCAATAAGGTGCAGGAAAGTTCAGGTTTTTACAAGTTATGAGGAAAAAAAAAAAAAAAAAACGACAGAGCTCGTCTCGATACAAGCCTCGAAGCCTCGGTACTTCCAAAAACATATCTGTCACCGTAAACAGTTAAGTACTAGAACTGTGGTAAAATTTGGATATGTTCATAACCAGTGTTGGGGAAAGTTACTTTTAAAAGTAATGCATTACAATATTGCGGTACTCCATACACTCTTGTAAATTAAAAAGTAATGCGTTACTTTACTAGTTACTTGAAAAAAAGTAATCTGATTACGTAACTCGCGTACGTAACTATTAAAGCACCCCCAATACTGCTGCATAGGGATGGGGGTATCGATCCTGAAGTATCGTTATATCGATACTAATGCGAGTAATCGAAAGTATTGATACTCAAATAAAAATATCGATACCAAGGTGTGTTTTTTACCATTGATTTTGTTTATTTAACAAACAAACAAAATGAGTATAATATGCATTGAATTCTGAACACACGCAAATGATGACAGACAGAACCAATCAATCATACTTTGATTCCCAAAAGTATTGTAATTTATTTTTTTTAAATTGATTTTTGTAATTGATTCATTGATGCTTTTGGGAACGGCAGCCCAGAACAATGCTTATCAGAGGACAGAAAAACATTATATGTTTGAGTTATTTCACAATAAACTATCTGAAATTGTAGGCTATATTGTGCAATTACATTTAGTTAAATTGAATGTTAAAAGTTCACATTGATCATGTTCTATTCTGTAATGTTGATATAAATCATACACGGTCAGAATAAAAAGGTTGCATTTTATGCGTGCAACAGCCTGTCACTGGCAGTCCCTTATGAAGATGAATGATTTTACTAAAGTGACCTAGTTCAACTATATATTTGTAGATTTCCATGGTTACCACTATAGTAAACATATTTTAACCATGTGTAAACAAAAATATAACCTAATAAGTTGCAATTAAAGCGTATTGAATGTTAAAATGCGTTTAAAATATAAAGTTAAATGGATATCATTACCCATTTTACTCTTAGTAATTGAATAATTTACTAATTGAATAAATTTCATAATTTAAAAGTTCGTATTTAGAACTTTGCTGGCCTTTAAAAGTATCGGTATGGTATCGAAAACAAAATAAGTGGTATCGCCCATCCCTACTGCTGCAGTCATTAGCGGGCGGTATATGAACTGCGGCTGCTACTGATGCATAAGTGCGCATTGCGCAACAATTAACGTAAGCAATCTACATATATCTGTCTAAATATACATTTAGTTTGTACGTAGTTGCAACCAGCAGCGTCGGAAACGAGTCGATCTTTCTTCAGACTTTGTGCCCTTATGCTTGTGTGGACTTAAATTCATATTGATCATGTTCTATTCTGTAATGTTAATAGAACTCATACACTGTCAGAATAAAAAGGTTGCATTTTATGCGTGCAACAGCCTGTCACTGGCAGTCCCTTATGAAGATGAATGATTTTACTAAAGTGACCTAGTTCAACTATATATTTGTAGATTTCCATGGTTACCACTATAGTAAACATATTTTAACCATGTGTAAACAAAAATATAACCTAATAAGTTGCAATTAAAGCGTATTGAATGTTAAAATGCGTTTAAAATATAAAGTTAAATGGATATCATTACCCATTTTACTCTTAGTAATTGAATAATTTACTAATTGAATAAATTTCATAATTTAAAAGTTCGTATTTAGAACTTTGCTGGCCTTTAAAAGTATCGGTATGGTATCGAAAACAAAATAAGTGGTATCGCCCATCCCTACTGCTGCAGTCATTAGCGGGCGGTATATGAACTGCGGCTGCTACTGATGCATAAGTGCGCATTGCGCAACAATTAACGTAAGCAATCTACATATATCTGTCTAAATATACATTTAGTTTGTACGTAGTTGCAACCAGCAGCGTCGGAAACGAGTCGATCTTTCTTCAGACTTTGTGCCCTTATGCTTGTGTGGACTTAAATTCATAAGCTTCCAGTTTCTAAAACTAAAGGGTTTGGCCAAAAAAAAAATAATAATTCTTGTTGAGATAATTGAAATTAATGTTGAGATAACAGGATTGATTTTAGCTTTTAAAGCTAGAAAAAACAAATCTTAGCTATAGCTATCCGAAGAATTGCAGGAATGGTAACTTCCTCATTTTCAAAATAGTGCTCGCTCGCTCGCTCGCTCGCTCTCTCTCTCTCTCTCTCTCTCTGTGTGTGTGTTTGTGCGTGCGCGTACATGTGTGTTTTTAATAAATGCCTTGTAATGTAGTAGGGCTTGGTTAGCACAGATTTGGCTGCACACAGGTAACCTCATGATCTTCTTTTCTCGGTTTATAACATCCTAAACTGTAGCACAATTTTTACTGATAGCACTAACAGTGTTCATGGTTATGAGGATAATTATACAACATAACACTTGAATTTTCAATAAGATGTAGGCCTATTGTTTTGAAAAAGGATACCTGTGTGTGCGCGCGTGCATGTGTTTCTTAGTCACTAGCTCTTAAATAGTTAAGTATAGTTAAATGTATGCTATCAGATGTTTATTTGACCACTTATTTATTTGACCAGATATTAATTTCACCAATATCTGCTATTAAATCCACCTTTATTCCTCTAATATTCACATAAGAGTGTCTATTTCTGCATGTGTGTATTTTTGTAAACAGATAGGTAGGTGGATGGAGACCATGGGCACTTTTTAATGTGTGTGTTTTTGCACTCCACTCCAGCTGAATGGACAATAAAAATGTTTGAGTTTTTATCTTGGTTTCATGGAGAACACAGATCTGAGCTTACTTCCCAAACTTGACCACAGTGAAGAAGAGCATTATTGTGTGTGCTGAAAGGACTATTGTTACTATTGTTACTTCTGATATCTTTCAAAGGTTGTGTGTTTCTTAATGTCTGAGCTGGGAACGTTTTAGAAATGCTGTTCATCAGGTTTGGTGACTTTATTCAGTTTGTTACAGTAAATTACTGGGCGGAAGAGATGTTGGTTTATTTCTGTAATTAAGGTCACAGCCTTACATCAGGTTTGATAAGATTATTGTTATAGACAACACCGTAGTTAACCGTTCTCTAGATTGTTTTTTTTTCCCAGAGTATTTGTGTAAACTGAGTCAAAAATTCCTTATTTTAACCCAAAACAAAATATAATTATCCGAAGTCAGAAAAAAATGTTGTACAAATTTCAAATCAGTAAGGAAATGTCAAGATGGTTTGGAACTGTTCCAGGAAAAATTATCTGACTGCCCTGTATTTCATAGATATATAGTTTCCTTTTCAGTATTAAAGATACCACACATATTATGGTTTCCATTTTTTTTTATTGGTTGATTAACTCACTTCGATAATCGATTTATTCATGCCTTCTGCATCCTTCACAGGTGCACACAACATAATCCCAGAACATGGCTTTAAAGGTAAATTGTGTGTCTGTGAGTGTTTATATGGTGTCTGTGTGATAGCTGGTTAACTAGTCATTTTGTTAGGCCTATATGTAAAACTCATACTCACTGCTGTGCCATCAAGCTAAAATGTACAGTACTTCATTTTTAATACATTTGGGTCATTCCGTGTCAACTCAACCAGATGTCCCCGGCTCAAATTTTTAATTTTGCTAATATTTTTTCTGAAGAGAGATAAACATGTATAGTGATGAAAGCCAAAATATTAAATGTCATGGATAAATATTTACGGAGTAATCCACTGTTTTGTAGAGGAGGGTCAAAATGGCAATTTTCACCTGAGATTCAGAGCCAAATATGCATAATATATATATAATATAGATACAGGGGGTTAAAAATGACTTCAGAAAGATGGCAGCATCATAATGTTATTTTCACATAGAGATTGGTAGGTCTGTTAGTAAAATCTGTTGACTTTAGCAATCTTTGTTGCTTTATGTTACAATGGTGACCATTCAAAACTGGGGAAAGAGCACTTTTCAAGTTTTTTCTCCAAAGTTTGCAGGCATTTAACTAAAAAAATATTAAAGATATCTTAATGCCCTTTTAGATATTGGGTCTTAACAAACGTTCCTTTTGGCATCTTCATTTTTAAGGCCATATATGGTTCAGTTCCAGAGATATTGTAATTTCAGTATGGCTCCAGGAGTAAATCAGTAAATTGTACACATTTTCAGTGGTCAAAAACCAAATGTGGGTCAATTTGCAAAAAATATGATACTTCTTTACTTTTAAAGATGAAAGTCTGAAGAACAAATAATATTAAAACTAGAAATGTATCTTGTTTCCTTCTGTCAAAACAACTGCATTGAATATACCTGTCTGAGTGCCATAAAGATTATTTTTCCAAAGTTTGTGTGCCTATAACTCAAGAAGTATTAAAGATATCGCAATCAGAAAAAATATTAGCAAAATCAAAAATTTGAGCCGGGGACCTCTGGTTGAGTTGACACGGAATTCTAGTTTTTGTCCGATAAATATTCTGTTCTACCACTAAGTTCTTGTTGAATATACACTACCGTTTAAAACTTTGGCATCAGTAAGGAAAAATGTATCAGATGCTCCTTTAAGGCGACATATATTTGATTACAAATACAGTAAAAATTTCACAATTAATATTGTGAAATATGAATAAAATTTAATATCACGTTTAATGCAACTGTTTACTATTTTTATTTATTTAAAAAAACTGTTTCTGTAATGGCAAAGTTCTAATATTGCGATGGCTGATTTGACACTCAAGAAGCATCTAAAATTATTATTATTTATTTTTGAAAAAGAAATATTTTTTTTACATTATAAATGTCTTGACTGCCATTTCTGATCAGTTTAAGGAATTCTTGCTGCTTAAATTATAAATACTGATTTCCCTACTGACCCCAAACCTTTGAACAGTGGTGTATCAACAGCTGTTTGTATCTAATGGTTAAATGTCTTCCAGCAGAAGGATCTCTTGCGAGACATCCAGAAGCGTTTTAACAGCCTGAAAGTTGAAGAGGATAAAGAAGAGACAGTAATTCTGAGAGAACGGTGTGTGCGTGAAAAAACAAATGCTGTTATGTGGATAATGTTATTTCAGTGCGTGTGTGTTTGCACGAGCCTTCAGTGAAAAATAAATTAGAATTATTCTGTATCTAATAATATTAATTTGTTCATGTTAGTGAGGACAGTATTGACATCCGATGTACAGGCTTTCCTGATTTCTCAGAGGACTTCCGTCAGATTGTTAAAGCTGGCTGGCTAGAGAAAACTCCTCCAAAAGGGTAAGAAACAACTTATATACAATTTATATATCTTCTACGACTTTTCTGACATCCTGAAGTTGTTTATATTTTTGTTATTTATAAGTGTTTTATAATATTAATGTTTGTATTTCCAGAGCGAAGATTTACCAGCGCCGATGGGTGCAGCTGGATTCAGAATATTTGAGATATTTTCAATCCATCAAGGTAACATAAATGAATAACTATATGGGTCATTTTAAATGTTTCATAATCTTAAACAATCAAGATTATTAAGATTCTTCTATTCAGATTAAATCTAAATATGATAGATCATATTTTCTAGTTCACAAGACACTAGTTTCCTTCCAAAATGACTATAAAAAGTCCTGCCATGTTTTGATATCTTGGATGCCCTGGGGGTAAGCAGATAAACATCACATTTTCATTTTTGGGTGAACTATCCCTTTAAGGAAGTTTTAAGCATTTACTGTAAAACATGATAAGCCAGACAATGATTGGAATGATGAGGGGGTGATGACCAACACGAAAACATGAAAGCTGGGATGTATTTCTGCCTTTGGGTTTCGGTTTAAATCAAAGATTACATCAGACTAACAAATTTTTGCCATTTAGCAAGTCATTCAATTGCCTGATATTTGGATTAGGCAAATGTAGCACTTATAGGCCCGGTTTCACAGACAGGGTTTAGCCTAAGCCAGGATTAGGCCATAGTTCAATTAGGACATTTAAGTAATTTTTATAAACATGCCTTAGAAAAAAAAACATTGCTGGTGTTCATCTTGAGACAAAACAAAGGCACTGATATATTTTAAGATCAGTCAGTGCATGTTTCTTTCAGTTGAAACAGCTCAGACTTGCACTTTAGTCTAGTACTAGGCTTAAGCCTTGTCTGTGAAACCGGGCGATAGTGTTTGGACTGTAAAAGTTAAAAAAGGAAGGCAGAGGTGTACTCTCTCTGAGATAATAATCAAAATAATAATAGCAATAATAACACTTTAAACCATGCACTGCCAGTCCTTTGCACCGCAACTCTATGATTAATTACCATAATCGTCACTATTACTGAATGAACTCTTTCATTTTTGGCTGATACTGATTATCCAATAATTCTGTCAGGACCACTATCGTCAAAGATGATTGACAATTAGCATACAGTTTGGATTGGAGGTATGGTTCTGTTCTGGGCAAGAACTCCCTGCGCATCCATGCAGCCTAGCATGGAAGAGAGCAGCGATAACCCCCACAGGGTAAACAGAACAGAACCAACATAGATGTATTGCAGATATCGTTAAAGTTCAATAATGTTATGTACACATTTTAGGATTAGAATCAGAAGACTGAATCCTGACTGACAGAGGAGGAGTTGGGGATGGAGGAGGGTAATTAGCTATTGAGCAATGCGAAAACTGCTGATAATACTGAGGGACCTTATACATGAATGCTTAGATAGGTGTCGTATTCCCATAGGTAGATGGGGATCAGCTGAGAGTCAGCTGATGCGAGCTTGACTAACGTGACCTGCCAGAACTAACGCTACGCTAGATTTATATTATGTCAGATAACCATTAAATGGCCAATATTCTTCTTCTTCTTCTTTTTACTGTTTTGTTTCAATAAATAAAATTTAAAAAACCACTATAAACTAAATTGTCATTTTAAATACTGCTGGTGAATTTTAGGCACCAGAACATTATAATTTACAATAAGAAAAACTGCTATTCTTTTTGAGATTTGCTAAAAATAAACTTTTAACAGTGTTTAAAAAGGATTTTTGGTTTAGAAAATTTATTTTAAGTGAGCATTAGATGATGGCCAAGGTAATTGGGGACAATAAGGGGACAATTGCATTTTCAAATTTACTGTAAATTTGAATTGTACCCCTTCCAAATATACTATATGTATCCCTTTAGTTTTCATATTTATTTGTGGTCTATAGAGTGTAGCATTGTTCATTGTGTGTTCTTTATGAGTCGTTATCGTCGCCCTGTGAAACAACATTTTGTTCTTCTGTGGCAGGAATGATAGTAAACATGATTTGATATACCTGTGAACAGTGTTGGGGGTAACGCATTACAAGTAACGCGAGTTATGTAATCAGATTACTTTTTTCAAGTAACTAGTAAAGCAACGCATTACTTTTTTAATTTACAAGAAAATATCTGAGTTACTTTTTCAAAAAAGTAATGCCAGTTACTTTGTTTTCCCATTTATTGACTGACAAATCTCCTGTCCCCATATTGGGAGAAATCGGAAGTACAGAGGCGTTGTGTGCGCTGTGTAAACATGATGTTACTGTAGTTCTAGACTAAATGTGAATGTGCATTAATTCATCCCACTCGCAAAAAAATAGAATTAGTATTCATCAAAATGAATTAAAACTCAGAATATGACACAAACCTGCAATAATTAAATGTTAAATAACACAAATGTATCTAATTCCATTTTATTAACCAATGTCTTTGCTGCTGACCTTTGATGATCCAGTTTAACCAAACTAATAAGCAAAAATGACTTTAGATAAACTAACAATTGTGCTTCATTGTTTTTTTTATTGCTGAAGAGTGTTTCTTCTCCTGCGTTCTACTGTACAGATGTGAATTTACTTTTCCTTCAGCCTGAGGTTTATTCATTACACTTTTTGGTGTGAAAGGGCTTTTACATTTGCTATAAATAGAACTTCTTATATTAAAAACAATCAAGCCCTGCTCATATTTAAAAAGTAACGCGAAAGTAACGCAAAAGTAATGTAACGCATTACTTCCATAAAAAGTAACTAAGTACCGTAATTAGTTACTTTTATTAGGGAGTAACGCAATATTGTAATGCATTACTTTTAAAAGTAACTTTCCCCAACACTGCCTGTGAAACCAGAGCTGGGTAGAAACTGATAACATGTCATCTGGATTCCGTAATCAGATTCCAGAAATGAAGTACTTGTAATTAGATTAAATGTAATGCAGGGATTCCCAACTATTTTTGCCATCTGAACCTTGTTTACCATATGTTTACTTGAACTACCTCTGATATTTCAAAATAAATATTTTAATAATTAAGTATCACATTTGCATGTTCACAGTTCTGACATGCAAGTAAACAAATAAAATCAATTTTTTTAGTAAGTGTTTTATTTTGATTTATGTTGTTTTAAAATGATTTATTTTAATTTGACATTTTGATGATTTAATTGATTATTAGCTTTTCATTATACTCAAGAACTGCCTGCAGTTCCTTTACAAACCCCAGTTTGGGAAACCTTGATGTAATGTAGTGTTTAATGCACTTCATGTTGTTAATTACAAGGAATGGCATTTTTTTTTTCTCTTTGTATTTTTATATCAATAGGGTACAAGACTGTCCTATTTAAATCAATCTGATAAACAAGTTGCGTCAAAAGTAATCAAAAAGTAGTCTGATTATATTACCTAAAATATGTAATGTAATGTAATAGATTACATTAGTAACTACAATTTTTGTCATGTAATTTGGAAGCAGTAACGGACTGCAATTTGTAATTAATCTACCCAGCTCTGTGTGTAATAAAGAATTACTCCCTGTCTGTCTCTCTGTGACAGGAAGTATACTCTAAAAGGATGGTGTCTCTGGGATCTGTCGATAAGGTGGTCAGGGTAGGAGACTTGCGATTCGAGCTCCACAGTCAGAGCCGGACTTTCCTGTTTCGAGCTGAAAGCACTCGTGTGTATTTGTCCATCTATTTTTTCCTAACCTTGCAGAACGTCTAATACACATCTTTGCTTTTGCATTCAGGCTATGAATCATTTACATGCATTTTTATTGTATGTGTATTTTTTATTTTATTTTATTTTTTACAGAGGAAAGAAATGACTGGGTGTGTTGTATTGAAAAGATTCTGAGTGATCACAAACATAATCTGGAGCCCCGGAATCTGTTCTTTAGGAATGGAAGTGTGAATATTAGTTTCGAGGGCTGCATGGAAATGTTGTCGCCACGCACCAAAGTCTACACACTTATCAGCAAGGACAAACTGTTCCTCTTCAGGAGCCATGAGGTGTGAGTCTGAATGTGAATGGATGCCTTTGTAAATGTTTTGGTGAGTTAATTAATAGATTATTTGTGTTTGTGTTGTGTATAGGAATATTTTCAGGGTGTAGGCATCACTGATATAGATATGCGAATGGCCAACGTGAGAGATGGAGAAAACAAGCGCTCTTTCACGCTCACCACTCCATACAGAGCTTTCAGGTAAACGCTGCAACTTTTCACATTTTGCACAAGCTGGAAGGCACTTATTATTTATATAGTATTAAAGCATTTTATAAATATTTAGAATTAGCTTTAGCTTTTTTGAATTATTTTTCTAATTTTTATTTTAAAGGGATTGTTCACCCCAAAATGAGAATTCTGTCATTAATTACTCACCCTCATGTCGTTCCAAACCTGTAAGACCTCCGTTCATCTTCGGAACACAAATTAAGATATTTTTGATGAAATTGGAAAGCTCTCTGACCCTGCATAGACAGCAACGCAACCAGTGAACTGGTGAACTATCCCTTATCCCTTTTAAGTTTTAGTAATTTTGTAATGTTTTTTTTTTTTTTTTTTCTTTCAATATTTTTCCATATATTTTTATTTCAGTTACAGTATTTTAGTACTTCAATTTAAACATATTTAATTTTCCTAAATGTAAGTTTTTCATCTAATATTTATATTTTATTTTAATTCAGCTTTATTTCAATTACCGAACACAGTTTTTAATAGTTTTAGGTTTAGTTAACAATAATGACAGAATTATGAAGCTCTCATCAGATTGCCTGATCACAGGTTCAGTGTACATTTCCATTATTTTTTTATAGTGTCAATTCATATACCAGCCAGACAGTCTCTTCCTGTTTAAGTGGGCAACTCTGGGCTCAATACACTACAATGTGGATCAAAAGCAAAAAACAAATGCAGCTATCCAAGCGTTATTCCCTGAAGTTTCTTCAAGCACATTCACTGATCTATAACTGTCACAAAAAAATTTGCTTTACATACTTTATGAAGGTCTGTCAGGGCTTCAAAGATGGCATATGTGGACATGACTTACTCGACAAAGCAAAATAAACCATAAACTTAATAATGAAACTGTGAACTAACTCACTACATTAATGAAAAACACCTGCACGAGCCCCCTATTTACATTTGTATTTTTCTCTCTCTCTCTAGTTTTATGGTGGATTCAGAGAGTGAGAAGCAGAGATGGTCTGAGGCACTTAATGAGTGTGTGAGTGCTCTGTCATGTGATGGGTTGTGTGAGAGCATTTGGCGCGTGCCATCAAACCGCTTGTGTGCGGACTGCAGCTCTTCGATGCCGGAGTGGGCTTCAGTCAACCTGTGTGTTCTGCTGTGTGAAAAATGTGCAGGTGCATACAAACACTTACATGTTAACAAATGACAGCTGTTGTATGTATGTAGGCTACTGTATGTGGGCTCATAAATATGTGCACATTTGTGTGATAACAGGTGCACACAGAAGTCTGGGCCAGAACGTGTCAAAGGTTCGCAGTCTGAAGCTGGATGAACGAGTGTGGACTGATGACCTCATCAGGGTACAATGAATATGATGCATCCAGTCTATGTGTTGCCACAGCTACATCTGATAGTTAAATTCATGCTTTGCAGGTGCAATTGTGCCTTTCTCTTTCAGGATGATGCATGATGATCTCTTTATGTGTTGTCAGGTTTTTCTGCTGCTGGGTAACGGCAAAGCAAATCAGTTCTGGGGAGCAAATGTTCCCCCGAGCGAGAGTCTCTGTTGGAGCGCACACAGCGAGCAACGTCTCGAACACATCACAGCAAAATACAAAGATGGAAAATATCGCAAATACCACACACTCTGTGGCCAACAGGAGGCACTCAACAGTGTTAGTCAATTCAATACAAATGGCAAAAAAATGACACTAAATGCACATCAAATGACGGTTCTTCTCTCATGTTCGGTTGCTCTGGGTTTCCTAGGCTCTGTGTTCAGTGGTGCAGTCTGGTGATTTGTTGGAGACTCTCTCAGTGCTGAATTGTGGCGCAAATATCAACTGCAACACTGGTATCCCAGAATTCCCTACTCCACTCTCTCTGGCCAAACGCAGTGGCCAAACAGTACAGGCGGAGCTTCTTATGCAGAACTTGAACTCAGGTGCACAAATACACACACATGCAATGTACATACGTTTCGATGCACAGGTTCACACTCATCTTGATTTGTTGTTTATTAGAGTCGTATACACCAGTTGATAAAGATGCATCCATTCGATCTCAGTCTGGCTATCTTTTTAAGACCGCCTCATCAGCTAAGCCAATCACAGACCACAAAACCAAAGCAGGTATGTGTTCATTGAGTAAACTGATGATATTAAATTTGTGTATTTGTGAGGATGTTTGACTTCCAAAAAGACTTAAAAGCCTAAAATGATACTTTTATATCATCAAAAGGTTCATTTTACCTGGTATTTGGGATAAAACGTTCATTGTACTATGCAAGAATCTTGATTAACATTAAAAGTGGATCTTACAACTTATATACAGTGTATATATAGAATATACATACAACAAAATATTTTTACAGTATATAATTAATATTTCTAAAATGTTTTTTTTTAACCGATAGCACCAAAATAAATGTGGAAGAAATATTTTAATAATTATAGATATAAAATTATAAAACGTTATAGTTGTAGAATAAACACAATTTCAAATTTGTTTTAACTTTTTAACTTTAATTACATTTAAATTATGTGACCATTTAAACTGTTTTTGGAAATTGTAAAATGTCATGCTATAGGCTTTTTAGGCTTTCGTTTACACATTAATCTACAATATTGAATTGGAAATTAAAGTGTTTTTCAATTACAAATAAATGAGCAACCATAAACATATGTTGTGTTGAGGTGCCTTGTGTCTGTATGTATATGAACCTTATTGTGGTGAATATTGTAGATTTCGCTCAGCGTTGGTGTTGTCTTAGTGATGGAATGTTTAGCTACTTTAAGAGTGAACAGAGTCACCACAAGTGTGGTGGCATGAAGACCAGTGAAATCATCTGCCTGTCTGTCAACAGCCCAGGGAAACATGGGTAATGATCCCTGAACTTCAATCCTAAGTGAGTTTATTTTTACCACGTTAATTCTGTTAACGCCATATTTACCATGTCCTCTCTAATTGGCTGGCAGCTATGAACACACATTTGAACTGTACTCTGAGGAGGGAAGAGTCTACCTGTTTGGAAGTGATGATGGCAGCATGGTCAAGAACTGGATCCAAGCTATTGCCATGGTGATCAACCTTTTTTATTTATTTATTACATTTTTTAGCTCACTTAAATTACAAACAAGTGCTTTAGATTATGTTTTCAAACTGGACCACAAGGGGGTACTAAGGTATCCGTTTTGCTATTTCAGAAATAAATAACATTTTCAAATCTATTACAATAGAAATGGGAAAGTTTTGCTATAATAATATATAGGGCTGGGTAAAAAAATATCTATATCTCGATATTAATCGATTGTCATTTTTACAGAACGATATCGATTCCTAAATCCCAAGAATCGATTAGCCCAGCCTGCTTTCATTTAAAAGACGGAACATTGAAGGGCACTACTTCCCATCCAATAAATCGCAATAAGCATTGTGCTTTGGTACTTTTTATATGAAACAAAGTGTCAGATTTCAAATTCTGTCCATTGTATTGCAGTATTCAAACAATAAATACCGTTTTGGCGCTGTTTAATGTGGAGTGACAGATCGCTGTTGTAGCGCCTCAGTTCAACAGACGCGGCAGCGCGAGGCGCACGTGAACTGATCATCTCCTCCACATTAATACCAGTTTCAGCACAAAATAAACATGACTAAACATCCGAAGTTAAAAGAAAGAGTACAACTTTACAGTCCGTATCCTGTCTCATGTAATCGCTCAATCTGTGTTTCAGCCACGCAAAGATGTCAATATAATGATTTCTAAACAATATATCACGTAACGTCACATTTACCTCAGAAAAAACCTATTCGGTGACCATAAACTCATTAGTCAGATAGAAAAATAAACTGTAGAGAGGGGCATTTTGCTTAATATATGCACCATATAACATATTCATTATAATTTTTTACTGTCCTTCAATGTTTTAATTTATGTTTGGATAAATCCATCAAGTTTTTATGACAGCCACCATTTAAATGTTTATATTTAAAAAAAAACGAATTGAAGTAGAAATCTTAATATGTAACTGTAACTTTATTATTGTAAAAACATTAATTTTAACCTTCAATATTAAAGCAATGTTGTACCAACTGACTTTCATGTATATTTTGCAGCATTAGTTGAGATTTTTTTTTCCCTTGAGAAAATTTGGCATGTACTGTACCTGATATATATACAAAATAATCGATATTGAATCGAATCGGTAATCGAATCGAATAGCAAGCTTGTGAATGAGAATCGAATCAAATCATGAAATTTGTGTCAAAACCCAGCCCTAATAATATATTATAATATTACTATACTACAATACTATACCAAAGTCCTTTTAAGGTATTGTATAGTCTTTGACTACACTGTAATAATTTGCAATATTACTGTTTTACTGTATTTTCTAATCAAATTTGTGAGCATAAGAGACTCGTTTCAAAAACATAAAAAATAAAGTTGTAGTTTTTTATTTGTAAATATTAATCTCTCCTTCCTTGCACTATTCTGTAAAGCTGGAGCGATATTTATTTACTATATTGGAGTTGGAGACAAATAAACTGATCTACTTCCTTCCTTCTCTTCCCTCGATTTAGGCTGTGCTGCCTCCTGCACTGTTTGATGTGTGTGGAACCTGTGATCGTCTGGGTCGCCTGCGCTGCACCGAGGGCAACCATGGCATTGGTTGGTTTTGCCTGAGCGGCTTCAAACTCCAGGTGTTACTGGAAGACAATGTACAAATAATTGACCTGCGCAAGCTACTCACACTCAGTGAGTTACAGCTCACACACAACAAGTAGTGATAGAGAGACAGTATGAAAATATGGGTGTCTGTATAAATGTACTCTGAGTGCGTATGTGTACGTAGATCTCTCTGACAGTGCTGGCTCCATGGTACTTGTGTGGAGAGGTGGACCTCTGCATTTGCTAGCTGACCGCAGGCCTCATTTTGTGGGCTGGCAGACCTTCATTCAGCAGAGATCCGGTGCCGGAGATCAGCCACTATCACAACAGCAACTCACTGATCTGGGTGTCCCAGTGACTATTGATCACTGCCTGGACCATGTAACACGTTATGGTATACAAACACACATTCCCATTACATAAGAAAACACAAACATTCTGTTGTCGAAATTTAAAATCTGAAAAAAAGAGTCACTACAGTGTTATTGCCAGAATGTTCTAAGGTATTCTGAGTGTTTTTTTATGATATGTGGTAACTGATTATGGTGATTAAGGCATTTAATTTACTGGTCAGGCAGCTGATTGGCTCATTGAGTCTGTTGTACTCTAGGACTGATGTCATCAGGAATTTACCGAAAGAGTGGCATTAATTCTCATGTGACCAAACTGCTGGAGAGGTTTCAAAATGATGCACGAAGCATAACACTGCTTGAGTCGGACTATTCTGTGGATGACGTGGCTAACATGCTAAAACGATTTCTCAGGGAGGTCAAAGGTGGAGTGTTTAATGGACAAGAAAACAACAACAACTGGCTTAGAGCTGCAGGTGAATAAAAATTGGAGTAATGTGAGATGAGACATTTAATACCGCTTGGAAAGTGGGAGTAGTTGAACACTATAAGTACTTTTTTTTTTTTTTTACTCTCTGCAGGTCTAGAGGACAGAACTGAGAAGATAAATAGATACCAGATTCTCCTTTCAAACCTCCCAGATGTTAACAGAGAAACACTCAAAGCACTCATACACCACCTGGTTTGGTATGTTATAAGTCATGTGGCTTGCTCAGCTGTCTAAAAGCTAAAAAGTACTACACAAACCACTATAAAACAGTAATTTTCTTTTCCGATGAAGCAACTCTAAAAATAGACGGGAACTTTTTACCTACTTTAAAAAGTGGTTTTGAATATTTCTGGTACTCTGTTGATTTTAATTGATCATAAGGGGGAGTATGTAGTTATTGCTAGTAGTACATCCAAAAACTTGACCCGAAATGTCTGCTTTGTCAGTGTTCAACACCTGTCTGATGAGAATCAGATGACTATACAAAACCTTGGTATCGTATTCGGTCCTACCCTTTTTATTCACACGGATGGAACAGATGTCACAGGATCTCAGGTGGTGGAGGAGCTGATCCAAAACTACTGCAGCATTTTTAATGTGAGTCAGTACAACCTTTAAATCTGATCATTAGCGAAACCTTTAAAGATAAATTCCTTCTTCCAAACCATGTCTTAATGTGAAGTAATATATATCATTATTATAGGTTTATCAAAGTGTGTTTGGGCATTTTGATAAATCAATAACAATTATGTCAGTTTTAGAGCAGTCGGGACTGATTTTGTGGTAAATAATTGCATACACACTTCATTCAACTGTGCATGTCACGTCAAATCCCTACTCGGAGAAAAGAAGCTACAGTACCATTATCATAATGAATGAGAAAAACTAGCCATGGATCATTCAAAACAGTTCATGGGGAATCATCGGTTGCAAAAACAAACAAACAATAAACACATTATTTATTTGTCCATCCGTTCTGATAAGATGCCCTGTATTCATGTGTACACTGGTGCCTCAAGCCACATTCATTCATGGTGAGGAGCAGGGATGAAGTACAGTCAAAACAGTCTTCTTCCCCAAGTCTCATGAAGATTTATTTTTTATCTCTAGAGGGCCTTAATTTACATAGTGCAGCATTAAAGGTATATTGCAATTTGATTCATGCTGACTTATAGCCCAACTGATAAATATTAATTCAAAATGCTGATATAATGCTGCTGATAAACTGTTGATAAAAATTATGACTGAGATGAAGCTTCTTTTGCAGGTCTCTGAGTCTGACCTTCAGAGGCAGCTAAACATGACGTCAGTCATCCTGAATAAACACAAGTCCCAGGTCAGAGTTCACAGGACATGGGCATTTACAATATTATGTTAAGAGCTTTTTTTTTTTTTAAATGCTGTTTTGCCATAATGAAATATCTAAATAACTTCTCATGTTGATGTGCTGGCTTTGATGACGTTACCGGATAGTACAGTAACACTGAAAGGTTGTTGATGTATTATTTTACATTATTTGAATTGTTTTGTTTTGCTGGTATTTCACATTAATGGCTGACTTTATTATATTTCAGAGGCCCTTGAGTCGAACTCCATCCAGCACCATTTGTGCTGTTTACCTGGAGAAGAAAGCTGAGGGTGCGGAGGTGCTTGTTCAGGTGCATATTTTAATCTTAACACAGACTTAAATTTATTTAAGTACATTATTTGTATACTACTTCCACAGAGTAAGATGTTTGTAGGTACATTTTTTTTCTTTGCATGTACTATGTGTTAGGTCACAGCAGATATGACCGTAGTCAAGTTGGTTTCTGTGGTTTTGGAGCTTAAAGGAATTCAGCAGGCCAATGAAGAGTTCTGGAGCTGCTATGAAGTTCTAGAGAAAGAGGACATGGGTAAGATTTCAGCCTATTCTGGAAGTGGCACTGAATAATAATACATGCAAATAAGAATTAAGATAAAAGCCTTTCCTGATTTTTTTAGATGATTTTCCTTGGAGCTGCTTTAGTTCTATGTTAAGAGGCAACAGCTACCAATTTGAAATGCAGATCGATCTAAACAAAATTCCACAGAAAACACAAGCTTTGGCATGAAACTGGCCAACAACCAATTGTCCGCTTTTGGTACAGTACAATAATGAACTATGACAAAGGTTTTAATTCCTTCATTATGGTCCATCATGGTCCGAAGTGCATTTTAACTTAGTTGTTTAATTTGTACTAACTGTAATAACTATGTACTAACTATTCTGTAGTACAAAAACGGTCTCATGTTCAAAATGCCCAGTATAGACAAATTCAGACAAATGGCAATAAACACAGTCAAGTTTTGTTGGAGCAGTGTGGTATCCTCGTTGGCATCTGTTGCTGTTGGTTGGTGCTTGTTTTCACTGAACAAGTTCAATCTGCGTTTCTCGGATCATGGAATGTCTGAGAAGTGACAATGTACTTAGGAGGCTGTCAGTGCAGTGCGAATTGGTTTTCTGAATATGAGACCTTATCTATTGAACGTGACTCTGGATATGGTTTCTGTGACTAAGAAATTCAGTTATGTATTTATTGTTTTATGTTTTTTTTTGTAATAGAGAGAACTCTGCATTACCAGGAAAGAGTGCTGCCAATCTATTTTTCACTTAGCTGTCACTCTCACCTGATGATCAAGAGGAATCACTATATTATCAGCATCAGGAGGTACCTGGGTATGTTTCATCACACAAACACCAATGCATAGTGTCTTTGAAAATCAATTCAGTCACCATAATTGATGAGAATGGTGAAAAAAGTATGAAACATGGCAGATTTCAGTGTGATAAGTCATTTCCTTAATGTGGAAATGAAGACATTCCAAAACTATCTTAAAGTATACATATAAAATATACATTTAAATGCTCATTTACAATGTTTATATGTCAGAAATCTTAAATCAATTCTGTTATTGTAGCTTCTGGAATGCTTTTTTAGAATACATTTTAATTTAGTAAAGGACTAATTGCACAATGTCTACAAAACTAATCCCAAACATTTAACCATACACATTTGGCTCAAAAGAGGTTATTAAGGTCACAAGAAACATTTTTGACTTAAATGAAATGTGTCCAAGCTTTTGACTTTTACTTTAGCATACATAATATGGTGCAATAAAGAACCTCCAACAATTAAGTGAAAAACAACTACAATAAATCCTATATAATAGCCTACTGCTTTTACATTGCTTGTTGTTTTAACAACAGTGCAGTAGTTGTTTGCTTTTTGTGTGTGCAGAGAATATAGGGAATCAGTGTAAAACTGGGCCATTGCGTGCTTGTGAGGTTAAAAGTGAAAGTAGCAAAACTTTCCACAGTCGTCACTGTGAGCTTTCTGGCACCACGTTCAGACTGCACAAGGAACTGCAGGTGTGTATGTGTGTGTGTAAACGTGAGCAGCTAGTGTATAATCATGCACTGAATAAGCATATTAACTTTTAAAAGGCTTCTGCTCTTTCAGAGTTCTCCGTGTGAGAGGGAATATCCTGTCAAAGAGCTCAAGCTCTATCATGGTTGCCGGAGCAAAATGCATCCACCCACACCGTAATAAACCGAGAGCACCTTAACACTACTTCTATCTACAGCTTACGATCACTCATAAACAGGGATGCAAATACATTGTTAAGAATGGGCAAGACAGTTGCACTTCTGACCACAGCAGCAGCCAAACTTGTGACAATGGCATAACTGAAAATGAACCATTTTGTTGAATTCAGAAAAGTATACTTGCATACTACACTTACTATTTGTGCCATATGAAGATATGTCAAAAAGTAAAAGTAATATGCTATTTTGAATTCAGCAAATGTTTTTTTCTCAATAAATGTATAAATATAAAATGATTTTATACCCCTCATGAATTTGCATCCTTGTTTCAATATTTTAAAGCAATATCCCTATACCTTTAACATACATTTATAGGATACAGTTTGTGGTGTGTAAAATTTCTTTCATTTTATTTACAGATGGGGACTGATACTGATTCATGAGAAGCAGCAGTGGTGAGTCTGTAAGGTCGTGGTTTCCAATTTCCGGTCTTGGTCACATTTCTCTCTTATCAGGCAGACATTTCGTTCACACAGCTCTTTCTTGACGACCTGATGATCTAAATGCGGTGGGTTAGATGAGACAGACATACAAAATGTGCAGAGCAGTGGGGCAGCAGCACCTGAGAACCGAAACTGTATAAATTAATAAATTAAAAAAATATTAATACTTTTATTTAGCAAGTATTTTTTAAATTTATCAAAAGTAATGATAAAGACATTTATAATGTTACAAAAGATTTCTATTTCAGATAAATGTTGCTTTGAAATCACAGGAATAAATTACATTTTAAAATATATTCAAATAGAAAGTTATTTTAAATAGTAAAAATATTTCAAAATAATACTGTTTTTTGGTTTTTGCTGTACTTTGGATCAAATAAATGCAGGCTTGGTGAGCAGAAGAGACTTCTTTAAAAAAAAAAAACATAAGGATCCTTTAAATTTATCAAAAGTGATGATAAAGACATTTATAATGTTACAAAATATTTCTATTTCAGATAAATGTTGCTTTGAAATCACAGGACTAATTACATTTTAAAATATATTCAAATAGAAAGTTATTTTAAATAGTAAAAATATTTCAAAATAATACTGTTTTTTGGTTTTTGCTGTACTTTGGATCAAATAAACGCAGGCTTGGTGAGCAGAAGTACAGAAGAGACTTCTTTAAAAAAAAAAAACATAAAAAATCTTAGTCCACCTAGTGGCGAAACAATGCAATCGACACAAGCGTTATCTGGCAGTTACTTTCAAACGCGGATTTGCTCTATTTTGGTCGCGCTACCATAGACATCAATGTTTATATCTGAATTATAAACTTTCATCCCAGTATTTCTGTGATAATATGAATGACTGTACGACAGAAATAATACTGTGTAGTTGAAAAGACTGTTTGTGAAGCTGTTTCTTAACCAAACATGGTAACTGCTCTCTCTGTGTCAGCGGCAGTGCGAACGCAGATTTAAATGATCCGGTAAGACTTTGTCAAAGGTTTAATAGACACGGGAGAATCGTTGTCATTTAGAAATTAGATCGTGTGGTTGTCTGAATCGAGATCGCAATCTTTTAATGATTAATCGTGCAGCTCTAATACACAACTTAATTTGGAAGTTATTATAAAACCCATCGCAGGCACAACACAATTAGTTTTAAAATATACACGTACCTTAAGAAAATCTACCCTTGCAACTAACCTAGACGTGTCTTCTGCACAGCATGGCACATAGTTAGGTTGAATAACGCGGGAAGAGCTTTGACGTAGTGTTGGGTCGTTCTTGAACGATCCGTTCATTTTGAACGAATCTTTAATGTGACTCGGGAAGAACGAGTCGTCTCGGGGAGTGATTCGTTCAGTCGCGCATGCGCAACATCCTATAGGTTCTGTACTGGAATTAGTCAAGTAGTTCACCCGGTTCGAGTCTTCGGGTTTTTCCGAGTCGTTCGTTCATCACGTGACAGCCTCATAAGCTTTAAACAATGCAGTCTGAGCCGGAAAGAGATTTGATTAGTTCATCTCTCGAGTCTTCGGGTTTGAGTCGTTCATTCATCACGTGACAGCCCCATAAGCCCAAACCCGAAGACTTGTCAGATAAGAGGTGAGGTGAGCTAATCATAGACTGAAGACCCAGGTAAACAATGAATTAATATTTTCTGTTTCTTATAGCAGTTTTGTATTGTTTGTAGTGTGATCAACGTTTGCGTAAGTAGTAGACATATTAGGGAAGTAACACGTAACATTTTAATTATATTTT